TGAATAGCCGCGGACGTTTTTTGACTCACCCCCGCCACGCGAGTTGACTCTCCTGGTCTCTAGTCTTCTTGGGTATTATACAGAAAGCCCTGATTACTTGTTCGTTAACAGTAGATATATGTATATGCTTCATAATTATCAGTTTTTTCAATGTTTCTTGAATGTAAGAACATAATACTGCAATCGTATCTGCAATTATACAATATCTTATCTTCAAACATTTCTGTTTTAATTTACAAACAAGCAATCACAAATGACTTTAAAATTACTTCATTCCAAACAGTTGGAATACTCCATAGATAAACCATATGAAATTCTTCTACGTATCATACAGAATTATTTATCTGAGTAATGCAATATTTTTTTTAATTTCAAGAATAATTTTATCGAGAATCTTTACCATCGAGTAAAGTTTTACTCCGTTAACAGCAGTGCAAATTAAGAGATTATGGTGATACGCAAAAGCGATTATAATGACAATTAAATCAACTGACTTATTAATACATAAATATTCCCTCTAAAGAATTGATACGATTCATTTAAATATAATTTTATATTACTTTGTCTTATCTTGTTTGACAGTTTAAAGGCAGTTTCGTAGCATGTCAGCCATGTTTAGCACTCTTCCTTGTACCTTTGTCATACTAACTTAAGCCGGTTGCGCCTCTCTGATAAATCTAGGACTCTAGTTGGAGCATGCGACTCGAACAAACCTGTAAAAGTGCTATCTGCGCAAATTAGATGCGTAGATTAAGACCGTCACGTGACCGCACGTACAAAAAAGAGATGCCAACAGGTCATATGATGTAAAAGAGTTGCGCAACGGCCTTATAATGATAACGAAATTTACGTTAGCTACAAAATAAGCCTGCTCTCTTTGTACAAGGGTGTATATCAATTACCCACATCACTAATTGGCTAATTTAAAATAATATAATCTCATTGGTGGAGCAATGAAAAATTACTAAGAATAGGCCGATGTGAGTGGTGTGTGCAATTGAACTGTATGCAAGTACGCCTCTCCCAGTTTTGTGACCAGCGACCCACATTCTGAGCCCGATATTTCACGTGTGTCGTACAAGGTTTTTCAAGTCTGTTGATTGGCTGTAAGGCCGGAATCAGACTATGCATTGAAGATTGAGGGTGCCATCACATGCGACGTAACCTGCGTAAGCGTAACCTGCGTATTCTAGTAATTTACTAGAATACGTTATTTTTTTATTTACTAGAATACGCCATTCTGAAAGCCGGCATTCACATTGGGCGTATTTCGCGGAAGATTAGAGAAATGCGGAACTAATGCAACCAATTGCTGATTAAAATTTCTGTTGTACACTCTAACAGAAATGCTAAACGAATTTTCGATTGGTTTCGGCAAGTTAGTATGAACGAAAGCATTGAAATCCTATGGTTGAACTTTACCGGCACCGGCATAAGTTAACGGTTACGGCCACACATTATAAATCAGACTTTCTTCTTCTAAATTTGTACAAACGCGTATTGTATGTACGCGATAAAAAGTACCGGTTCCCCATGAGGCGTACTTTTCGAGTTGCGTAGGTTACGAAAACCAATCGTAAATTCGTTTAGCATTTCTGTTAGAGTGTACAACAGAAATTTTAATCAGCAATTGGCTGCATTAGTTCCGCCTTTCTCTAATCTTCCGTGAAATACGCCCAATGTGAATGCTGGCTTTCAGAATGGCGTATTCTATTAAATAAAAAATAACGTATTCTAGTAAATTACTAGAATACGCAGGTTACGCCGCATGTGACGGCACCCTTAGTCATATGTGTTTATGATTAAAGGTTGGTTTATAGTAAGCCGTAATCTGTTAACTTTTTCCGTAATCTATAAGAATTGACCAATCACAGTCGATTATTCTCGTCTCATTCGACTATGATTGATCAACTCTTATGGCCATTCTATAATAAGCCATTAAGCCCATGGCACATACAAAAACGTAAGGCCGTAAGACGTAAGCAAGTAAGGAAATCGTAACATTGGATTCGCTACTGGCCTCACGGTCTCTACCGTGATTGGTCAATTCGCTTACTGATTACATCTTACGGCCTTACGTTTTTGTATAGGCCATCACACGTACAAAAATTTTAGTCGTAATCGTAAGATCGCAAGCAAATCGACCAATCACAATCAAAATTACTATCTCGCGTTTTAAAACGCTCGATTGTGCTTACGGCCTTAAGCCCAGTGTCCACGATGCTAGAAATCCGTCAGAGACCTCGGATGAAGAAAGAATTGACCAATCGCATTGATCATGTGACTAAATTATTTAGATGTGATTGGTTAATTCTTTCTCTCTCCGAGATCTCGGACCAATTTCTAGCATCGTGGACACAAGGCTTTACGATTACGACTAAAATTTTTGTACATGTGATGGCCTTATGTGCCATGGGCTTTAGTTATAAATCAAGTTAGAAGCTGAAAATTGACGACTATGGTTGCGTTCAGCAGACTCAACAGTTTTGCAACCGTTTTATGATTGTCTGCTGAGATAGGACCATTCTTCTAGATCTAAAAGTATGATCCAATCAGCGCGAAGGAAACTTCCAACAGTTGCAAAACAAACGTTCTGCTGAACGCAGCCTATGATTGATCAATTTCCAGTTTCTAACTTCTGATTTATGACTAATGGCTTATTGTAAAATGCGTGTTATACATTACGAAAAAAGTTAACAGATTACGGCCTATTATAAACCAACCCTAAAGTGTTTTACAACAGATAAACTCATTTCTGTGGAAAAAAAACATATATATCATGATCATCTTTACAAAGAAATCGACAAATCTGGGGAACATTGAAATTGATAAATGATAGTGTATATGTATACAAGTATATATTTTAACTATATACATATTTTTACTAAATTAAACTTTACAAACTATCATAATTGATTAAAATTTATTAATGTTTGTTAATCTTTAATGTATAAATTGAGAAAATTACACAATCCCCTTTCATTCAAAAAGTTTCTTTTATCTTTTAAAAAAATATAAACAGAAAATATAACAATTTTTGTGTAATATATTATTAACTTACATGTGATTAGAAAACCTAATATATTTATGATAAATTATAAATAATCGTTATGATGATATGATTATTTAAATGCTGGAAGTATTCAAAAGTATATATCCAAGTAACTGTTGAGATAATTATCACATTCTATTTTACAGTACCTTTCTTACTTTTATCTTTACCATACATAGCATCCAAAAATAAACCTAAAAATACTATAAGTGTACTCAACCATTGTCTAAGAGAAAGATTATTTCCAAAAATTAATATAGAGCCTAAAACAGTAAAAAATTTCCTAGTAGTGGTTATAATTGAACATGGCAGTGGACCAAATTCAGCTACAGTTAGAAATATAAAATATTGTCCAAATGCTCCAGCCATAGAAAATGTCATTATATGCCATATGGTGGAAGGATACCTTTGTAGGAAACGAATAAATTCAAAAAGTTCTCCAGAAATAAGAATCACTGCGCTACTAAGGATAACAGACCAAAAGTTCATATTGAGCATCATGTGTCCTGATTTTGAATTATGCTCAGCTCTCATTCGTTCCTGCACTGCACTTGTTAATCCATCCATCGTTAACGACAATAGTAATAACAATTCTCCAACTGACAATTGCGACTCTGCTTGCTTTTTAGAAACATTACCATCCTTATACATAAACAATGCAACTCCAACGACAATCAAGAAAATAAATATGTACTTTCTAATTGGATATATCTGTAAAGAAAAAATGATAATTAAAGATAGCAAACAATTCAATGTATAAAATTATCTTGGTAAATAGCATACCTTATTAAATTGCATACCTTTTTTCCTAGCAATACACCTAATATCATCACAGGTATAGGCTTGCCAGCTTTACCGATCACCTGCGTCGGATAATTGACAAACTGTAATGCCATGTTACTGCACACCATAGCAAGAAGATATGTTAGAGCAGACAACGAATAATATATAGTCCTTGTAGTATCCTCGCCTTGTTTCATCACCGTCAGCAAAATCATTTTAGCAAATATGTAATTCACCAGACACTGAATGAAAACCAGTGCAAACATGTACGTAAATTTTTCCCGATTCTCCCCATCGCCGTACTGTCCACGTGTGATTTTCTCTTGTAACATACCGAAGTAGAAATAGCACACAAATATGCCGGTCGAACATATGAACAATTTAGTATATTCATTAGTAGTAGCCATTTCTCAACGGATATAATATTGTAAAACCACATAAAAAAAAGCCTGTCTTTTGATGTGTCACTCGCGTTATTTCAACCAGGGCAAACCAGAGAATCCGAGCTAGAGATCCTTCAAACTTTAAATTACGATTTCATGTAGCCGAGCTTCGCTGGCGAAATTCCCCCACCCTATAGAAAACGAAGCAGCGTTCAAATCAAATCACAGACTTCTTATTACACTAGATTGTTAATTCTGTCCCTTTAACTACTACTAAAAATTTGCCTAAAATATACGCATGCTCAAAATAAGGCCCACGCCAGTCCAATCAACAAAGAGATATGCGACATCTTGAACCAATCATAGAGAAATATACAATTTCTTGAATCAATCACGGAGAAACTAATAGAGTGGGCATAAACAGAGTGGAGAGCCAATACATGTGTCTAATACTGATTGGCTACGTCGTTTATAAGTTAACTGTTAGTTAGAAGAGGATCACATTAGAAAAAGAAGAGGTTAGGTGTATAAAGCCAGCGGTATGTACATGATGCTTGTTCTTCTTCTTTTTTAATTCCTCTGCTAAGGGCCACTGTCTGCTGTCACCAAGCTCAGTTAACTTAACTGGCCAGTTAGTCCATCGGAATTGACCAATCGCATTTGTCATTTTGTTTGCTTCAAACAAGCTTGGTGACAATGGCCCTAAAGCTGGAATCACAATGGCTACGTTTACACCGTGCATTTAGGCCGCGGCTTATACAATAGATGTCCTTGTTTATCTTGTAGGTTAAACAAAGACACTTATCGTATAGGTCGCGGACTAAGCGCACGGTGTAAACGTAGCCAATAGACACAGGCAATAGGCACAAGCAACAGGGAATAACGAGCCATCCAATCAGAGTTCTGGGATATAATATCGAACTTATACCCCAGAGCCTATTGCCTGTGTCTATTGTGTTCATAGCGAGGAGCACAGCCTCTTGCATAACGCATAAAGCCTGATTAAAGGCCGCAGCACAGACTCTTGCATAACACATCACGCATAGTGCATAAGCGAATCTCTCACAACTAATCAGAATCTTTTCTTTCCTCCCATTCCATGAAAAAGAAGAATTTCGATTGGTCGATTTCCTTGTGCACTATGCATTATGCGTTATGCAAGAGTCTGTGCTGCGGCCAT